TGGACAGCGGCCCACACACGTTTAGCGAATTCATATTATTGTACATTATTATTAAGATGTTCTAGATTAGTTTTTTATACTATCAGTCTATTTATGTAACCGGGTCTGTCAGGCCCGTATTAGAGGCCCAGAACCGGATTTTGCCTATATATACTCCTTATGGGAGGCTTGTAACTCATATAACCAATATTCATTCATTCTATACACTTTCATTGTTCCTTCTCCATTCTTGTTCAATTATCCATAGGATAATTGAGATGGATAATTGAGAGGTTGAACACAATCGAGAAAACCTCCCAATTAACCAAAAATTCTTCCCAATCACAAAAAACTGTTGGAAAATTAAAAAAGAAAGAAAAACTGGGATTTCGCAGATCTGGAACTGCTCTTCCAATCTGAACCCGGCAGCGTCGGTCAACCGGATTCGTCACGGTCAAAGGGAATAATCTCGTCGGAACCAGCCAAGAAGGGGAAGCAGCTGAAATCCGGAACCCAGCCCACTGCCAGCGGCGACGCCACAGCAGGGCCATGCTCCGCAGCTGATCTGCGGCCCGGAGAACCACCGGCGAAGTACGGTCTCCTCCGTCTCGCTCGCGAAGACGCCCAACTCCCGGCAGCTCTGCCACCGCTTCGGCCTCCATCGCAGCTCAAGCAAAAAGAGTCGGCCAAACAAAAAAAGAAGGAAATCCGGATTTTCACGTATGAGCCGCCGCCGTCACCGTCTTCACCCGCCGCCATCACCGGCTTCAGTCGTCGTACGCCATCTGTTGAAGCTCGCTGCACCAGTTAGAGTCCGTTGCGCCATTCTCAAGAAGTGAGGTCACTTCTCCCGAACACACTGTGCGTCCCTCCGCTGAATCTGCTCGAAGGGTGGTCAGGAGATGCGATTCCGATCTCAAATAGGAACATGGTTCAGAGTGGAAAACCCTGGTTGGAAGGTTTTTGCTGTTCTCCGTCGTCGGACGCCGCTTTCTCAGGCGCCATCATTCTCGCCGCATGTAGCTCCACCTAGCCGGTCGCCGGTCGGTCCTTCACCTCACACGTCGCCGCTCGCAACCCACCTCGCCGTTGACATTGCCTGAGGATCTAACGGTTCGAGGTTCTCCATTAATGGTTGCTTTGAATTCTTAAGAAGCATATTCCAACCTTTTCCTGTCGAGCTGCCCACTTAGCTGCGGATCAACGTCTTGGACAGATGAAGAGACAGACTCCATACAAATCAGTTGACTGTTCACCTTTTGAGATATGTGGCTTCAAAAAATGCATACGTGGGTGCACTTCATCCTTGTGGTGGCCGAGCAAATAGTCGAATATGGAGTATATTCATAGTCAACGGGCTTTTTTCCACTTAAAATGGGCCTAAGGATCAACATATTATATTCATTTCAACGATATTTCAGCCCACTTCAAAAAGATAAGTATCTTTAATTTTAATATTATTTATATTTATTTTAATCAATATTTTTTGTCGGGTGAATGTCATACTATCACACACTTATGATCAAATGCCTAGTAGAGTGTGATTTGAGACCCATCACAAGGATTTAAAGCCCTGACCAAGATCAGGCATAAAGCCCTGACCAAGATCAGACACAAAGCCCCGATCAAGTCGGGCACGAAGATAAAGCCCCGACCAAGTCGGGCACGAAGACCGGTCTTAGTCATTCCTCGAGTGGCGACCGCTGCTTACGAATGGCTCACACATCCATTCTACTAAGTATTTTATCATTACATTAACAATTCACATCTCCACTTCTTTCAAGTGACGAACTCCCGATCGGAAACATAAATCCCAAGAAAAAATTTATGTGTATGTTAATTGTGTAGGTACGAAGATGACTTTACTCATTTTCACCTCGTCTCCACTCGCCTCAAGGAATGGGGGACTGGGGGACTAAGGGTTCAGAGTTTCTAGATGAGCAGAAAATATCACGCATGAGCAGAAACGAAAGCTTAGTCGGATGAAGAGGAGTCGAGCTAGATTGATTATGCCGGAGGGGACTTACCTTCCTTTTTTCATGTTGGGGGCGCTAGGTGTACTCTTTTTCCCTTTATTAGGATTTTTCGCCACTGGATTTTTTCCTAGTAAAGGTTTTTAACGAGGCACCCTCCCCATCATGGACAATGGTGGTGGTCCCCCGACCGGAGAGGAAGAAACCAAAGACAGAAGAACGTTGCAGATACAGTTTGGACTACTCCCTTTCGCCTCGAGTACTAATGTGAGTTTCTCGCACTTAAAACAGATCATAATATAGTGGTGTAAGTACGAGTATCGTCTCCACAGGGACGGACAAAAGAGAATTAAGAATTAACTAAATTCAGCGATTAAAAATAAATAAATAAAAAAAGTGTCGTGCGAGATATGGTTGGTATGAAAATTAAACTAATGCGAATGAAACGATTAAACTAGGGGGTTCTTTCTAATTAATGACGAAGGGAACATGGATTGATTCCGGGGTAATCAGATTTCTGGCAGATGAGGCTTAATTACATGAAATTAATTTAATTGAGCCTAGCTAATCATTACTAAGTTCTTACCGCTCTCGCGACGTAGAGTACAATAATTTAGAGGACCAGGCTGATCTCTCATGCAACAGGATCCTAAATTATTGCCAAGACGAGCGAGATTACGACCCCTTAATCGCTACTAATCTCTTAGCGAACGATTAAGTGTGTGTGAATGTGTCCTAGAATAAACTAGATCTCTCTTAATTTATTCTACATGCAATTATAATTCTAGCTGCAGTCTAGGTTACAAGATATATCAATTAAATTCTTCAAACACAAATTAAACGGCATTCATGCAATTAAACCATCAAGAATCTAGCCATACATCATGATCAACCCCTTCATCAATCCCAAATCTCTAATTAAAACTACTCACAATTCATAATTGAAGAATCAATAGAATTGGAATAAAAAAAATTAGTTGTCATTAGATTAAAAAGGTGGAACTTACAAATAATTCCAAAAGATTGATGACCAAGGCTGAAAATCCCTCTAAAATTCGTGCTAGGCACTCTCTCTAAGCTCTCCCCTTCAAAACAGGGGTTCACAGGCTGTTTAAATAGAAAAATCAGGTGAAATTTGAGTTGAATTGGGATTTCTAGAGGCATGCACGATCGTGCCTTCGATCGTGCCTCCGGAGCAAAAACGCGCATTTTGGACAGGCACGATCGTGCCTCTCTCCAGGCACGATCGTGCCTAGCTGGTAGTAACTCCGCGATGCTTTCTCTTCACGCACGATCGTTCCTGACTTTGAGGGCACGATCGTGCCTACTTACCTTCCGAATTTGGCAATGCTTCCTTCATGAAAATTGTAGATAATGAAGTCATTTATCCACCCCAATTTGCCGAATCTTATTTGAATCATCCAATCAAGAGATATGATCAAAACGGTGGAAGGTGTCTTTCTGAAATTGCAACAGAGATCATCTGACGTCATCATCTGTTTTCACTTTCTTCCTCTCATATTGTCGCAAAGGTGTCTTCATATGATTTGTATCCCTTGAAGTTAGCTTTTTTTTTCCCCTTGAAGTTAGCTTTCATATGGAACTTGAATCGTGTCCATTGGTAATTTCTACAAAGAGATATGCTTGAACGATTGACAGAAGGTCATCCTGATCGTCGTTTTCATGCTTCATTCATCTTCTCTTGACCCCGTAGTCAATCCTAGAACTCTTTTTCCTTCAAATCTTCATAGTGAACCTCCCGGTGACCTCCAAAGCTATCAAATCAATCTCAAATGCTTCTCAAATCATCCCGATTGTTCCTCAAGTGCCGGTGCCGGGCTCAAATTCCCTGATTTTGACTACAAACAACACAAAACTCGAACCAACGCCCGGTAAACATAACTTGAGCTAAAATTGAGACTTGTAACACCTTAAAGCTAGGAAAATAATCAAAAGCCGATCTCAACATGCATCAAATGCGTGTCAAAATATGGACTTATCAAGTACTCTCGACTCAGGGAGTGGGGGACTCCTGATGGAGTATATGGACTCCGACCTCCCGGTCTGCCGACTACTGGGCCTGGACAGCGGCCCACACACGTTTAGCGGATTCATATTATTGTACATTATTATTATTAAGATGTTCTAGATTAGCCTTTTATACTATCAGTCCATTTATGTAATCGGATCTGTCAGGCCCGTATTAGAGGCCCAAACCCGAATTTTTCTATATACTCCTTATAGGAAGCTTGTAACTCATATAATCAATATTCATTCTATACGCTTTCATTATTCCTTCTCCATTCTTGTTCATCAATTTCATCAAATTGAACGACTTACGCAAATTGAGTGTTTATTCACGACATTCTACAAAATTTAAAGATCTCCTATTATTTTGGAAGGCATAGACCAACATATATTTACCTTTGTAGCTCATAATAAAACGACATAATTGCTTTTATCTATATTGACCCGAAAAAGTAAATCGATAAATACCGGTGAGTGTAATTAACGCTATATCATTTTCGCACACGGAGTACCAAACAGCCCAAAGAATTCATATCTTTAGTCAAAAGTGTGGAGAGAAAATACGGTGGCAGTAAGAGCCCGTTTGGTAGCACGAAAATCGGCTGTTTTGGCTGATTCTGCTGAAATTTATGAAGTTCTGGCTGAAGTGGCTGCATTGGCTGATTCTGCTGATATAAGAAAAAAATATTTTTTAAATATATTTTATTAATAAAATAAAGAAAAAATTATATGTAAAAATAGCTAAAATTGTCATCTACAGTAACTTCAGCCAATACAGCCAGAAAAGTAACTTCAACCTTACTTTTTCTGCTTATTACAAAATACAGCGCGCGAAAGCAAAATTTACGTGTTTGGTGAAAAAGTTGGCTGATAAGCCTGATAAGCCAAAATCATGGTTGCCAAACGGCCTCTAAATGAAAGCAAAAGCCGGGACCGTTGACTCCTATGGTGCGATGATGAATACGGAACCAGAAGTTCCCAACCTCTCCACCTGCCGCTTATTAACCCCATCCTTTTTATCTTTTCCCCAGAGAGAGAAAGATACAGAAGTGAGAGTGAGATATCAATGCTCTGCAAATCTGCCAATCTTACGTGTTTCAGAGCGCTTTTAATTTCATTGATCGAGAAATAAAGAGAGATGGACAGGTCTTGGTTTTCGCGAATATTATATTGAAATGATTTTGGGATTTTCTTCCTACCCTTTATCTCCTTCGTCCTTTTCGTCTTCCTCGTTGGCATTTGCGCATCCGTTTTTGGTTTTTCCCTAGAGAAATCTGCTCCGGCCTGTTCCTGAGCCAGTGAAGAAGCAAAACGAAGGGAAGGGATTGTTAGCGGAGGAGAATTAGAATTTCCGATTCACGATGGTGTTGGGATGGAGGCGGCCTTTCTGTGCATCGATCCCCAGAGATCTCGATTCCATGGAACAAGCGCAGCATACTACGCCTCAACCGAGTCCTAGATTCGGGTCCAAGTTCGGGTTCTTCTCGAATCCTTCGACGCCGCGGATGCACCACTCTCAACCGCCTGCGTCTACGCCGTCTCTCCGTTGCCGGACTACAGTGACTCCGCCTGCCGACAGTCCGAAACACCAGTCTAAGAGCCCCAGATTCTTCCACCGCTCGCAGCCTTCTTCTCCTCGTTCTCCTTCCCCCTTTTCTCTCCTCAAATCTAGCCTCCGTCTCTCTAAGGTATGCATTGAATTATATGCAGATGCTCTACATTATCGAAACTGGTTAATTAATACTGTTCTTCTTCTGATTCGGATTTATTTGCTTACTGAAATAAATAAACCTTGTTGAATAACAGAGCAGGTGTGGGATATGTTCAAGGACGGTGAAGTCCGGGCAAGGGACGGCCATTTTCACGGCGGAATGCTCTCATAGCTTTCACTTCCCCTGCGTTGCTGCACATGTGAAGAAACAAGGAAGCCTCATATGCCCCATTTGCTGCTCAATTTGGAACGAGCTGCCCGTGTTGTCTCTACACGATGACGAGATGAAGATACTGGAAGTGGAAATGGAAGAGAGAACGATCCGACAAGTCACGCCCAAAGGAATGAAGGATGTTCGTGTAAAAAGTGAAGCTAATGATAAGCAGCGCCCAAAGGGTAGAGCGATTTTGAAGGTCTACAATGATGATGAACCACTTATGTCTCCCACTTCTGGAGCACGTTTTAACCCTATACCTGAATCTGATGAAGAGAATGAGGAATTTCAGGGATTTTTCTATGAAAAAACCAGTCCAGTGATGCACACGCCTGCTGCGGCGGTGTCCAACAACGTGGAAGCCACGCTGTTGCCTGAGGCGGCTGTGGTTTCAGTTGGCAGGAGTCACGAAACTCATGCGGTGGTTCTGCGACTCAGAGCTCCGCCGGCATCGCCGGTGACTTCTCGGAAAGCTCCGATTGATCTGGTGGCGGTGCTAGATGTTAGCGGGAAGATGACAACCGATAGCATCCAAGTAATGAGACGCGCTATGAGATTGGTGGTTTCCTCACTCTCTGCAACAGACAGGCTCTCTATCGTGGCCTTCTCTGCAACTTCAAAGCGTTTACTGCCGCTGCGAAGAATGACGACGAGCGGCCGGCGGTCTGCGCGGCGTATAGTGGATGCGATGGTTTCTCTCGGTGGAGCGGCGAGTGCAATCGACGCTCTCAAAAAAGCTGCGAAGGTTCTGGAAGACCGCCGCGAGAGAAACTCTGCCGCCAGCATCCTTCTCCTTTCAGACTGCCATTACGAGCAGTTAGCCGCCAGCTCAGTGTACCAGAGACCTCAATCTCCGGTGATTTCGTCCTCCAAGTTATTCGGCCAAAACGAGATTCCCGTATATTCCGTCGCATTGAATGATGCAGCTGGGTTCGGATCCGGGTCAACAGAAGACGGACTGACAAAGTGCATTGGCGGGTTACTAAACGTCGTCGCGCATGACCTTCGCGTTGAGCTCAGATTTGTCTCCGGTTCCGCTCCGGCGGAAGTCGCCGCAGTTTACTCAAACGGCACCCGGCCAGTTTCACACGGGTCGGGTCAGATCCGGCTAGGAGATTTTTACGCAGAGGAGGAGAGAGGATTGATGGTGGAACTGAAAGTCCCATCATCCGCCATTGGGGCCCACCACGCGCTGTCCATTCGATCCGTTTACAAAGACCCGTCAACTCAAGACCTCATCCATTGCAAGGAACAAGCTTTGCTGGTCCCGCGAGCCCACGCCGTTAGATCCTCAACTGAAAACATCAGACGGCTGAGAAACCTCTTCGTATCGACGCGGGCCGTAGCCGAGTCCCGGAGATTAGCCGAGCGTAGCGACTTCACCGGCGCGCGGCGCATGCTCTCTTCGGCTCGGGCTTTGTTAATGCAGTCAAACTCCGGTCAGGCGGACGATCTGATCACCGGCTTGGAAGCCGAGCTGTCGGAGCTGCATAGAACCAGACAGAACCAGATCCAACGGCGCGGAAGGGATGAAGAGAAAGCCGAGCCCCTGACGCCAACATCGGCTTGGCGAGCCGCGGAAATGCTTGCAAAAGTAGCTATGATGAGGAAGTCGTTGAATAGAGTCAGCGACTTACACGGCTTCGAGGACGCCAGATTTTAGAATTTTTTTTCTGCCGTTGGAATCCCACCCTCACCCCGCACCCACCCACCCCACCTCAATTTCTCCCCATTCAAAATTATTAATGGAATGTTAATTTGTACTAGAGTAAGAGATTGAAGACTAAAATAATGTAATTTAGAAAAGAGTGGGACCCAAATTGCGCATATAAATACAATAGGGTCACGACCAAAACAGTTACTCGGGCTGTGTCTGCGAGTTATGATTGATTGATTGATTTGGGGCAGTGAGGAGGGGAGGGGCTCTCCAATTTGTCTTTATTTCACTATTTTATTCTACTCTTATTTTTAATCAATTTCAGTTCCTTCTGTTCATTTATGGAATCTTATACTCCATGTTCATATTCTATGGGGTTGAACAGAAGAGGGCAATACCCTATTCAATTATTCAATTCGTTAAGTGTTAGAGCTATATTCTGATTATTCTCTATCCATCAAGGCCAATGGCTCATTATGTCAATTGTATGTATACAAATTATGTCTCACTTGCACCTAACTCCAATTTTGAACAAGATCCGGTATGCTAACCTTTTTACTCTGTATTTAATGTTCTATACAATATTACAATAGGTTTGAGCACAAGATTTAAAGGTAAAATAACATCATGAATAGTGTAGAAAAAGTAGGAGAGAAGGTGGAAAAGTAAGAAAGAGAAGATAAAAAGTAGAAAAAGCAAGAGTAATTGAGTTTTTTTAAATGAAAAATTTGCCAAAAGGGAAAGTGTAATAAACTTTTAAATACATCAAAAAAAGGAAAGTGTAGCAAACTTTAAAATACGGAGAGAGTATGTTAATTAGTATCCTGTTTTTTTTGTAACAAGAGGACTTATATTGATAATAAAACATTCAGCAAGGGATACAAACGATAAAAGAAAACTTCCAGCCATCAACCCTCGGACCAGCTGGAGAACCAATCACCCTGTATAGAGCAATATGATTCGCTTGTCCTGTAATGGGTCTAAATGAGTCAAACGTGACCAGAGTAAAACCCTCATCACCCTCACCTAATGTGAGAGTCTGGCGGAAATAAACAATACAGAAAATAATAACGACAACATTCATGCCTAAGAACCTCAAAAAGAGTAAAGCGAAAATAAGTAAAATAAACTTACAGAAAAAACGAAACTCTGCCTCAAACATCATCCTCGGCAGTGGCTCAGGAGGTGGACGGATCATCAAACCTTCATCTTGAAAGATTCCTTGCAAACCCACCACCACAAATTCCACAGACATCTCCTTGACCCCTGCGATTATAGCACTAGTGAACCCGCGATCCCCGCTTGATGAAATTTCCCCAATCGGAAAGAGTAGCACAGCCGAGAAGGCCATAACCCGAAGAAGGCAGCGATCCAAACCGCCCGAGTCCTGCCGCGATCAAGAAGCTTCCAACCTCTTCGATTAACGACCGGTGGCGCACCAGGAGCCGAATCCGCAGCCCTGCTTCCCTTCCTCGCCAAGACACCTCCGAAGAAAAACCAGAACCGAAGCCCTTCCTTCCGCGACCGAACACTAGAACAATCAAAGAAAAAACCTGCTGACACCGAAGCCCTCCCCTGCCGATCGAGGAAGAAGAACGGCGCAGCAAAAAACTAACCCTAGATGACTAGGGAGACTTCCGCTTCTATCTCATATTTTTTAATTAGTATCTTGTTACTCATTTATTATTAAATATTGCGTATATAACGTACCTTTTTATGTTAATTAGTATCCTGTTACTCGTTTAATGTTTCTATGGTGCCTAATCCTGCAATCCATAATTATTGCATACATCAAAGGGTATGTTTGGTTGGGGTGATCTCACATGAAGGCCAGAATGTGATGCACGGAATGTTAGATATCCTTATTTGGTTCACGGGTTTGAAAAAAAATTGGGAACGTTACATTCTCGGGAATGTGATCGCAGAAAATTGTTTTCTAATTAGTGTTCCCTAGAACTTCATGTACACACATGTTGCCTGAAGGCTGATTTTAAAGTGTGTGTACATATGATAACAATAAAAATGTACGAGTGAAGTGCACTTCAGAATAAACCAATACATTTAAATTTTTATACTCATGACTATGTCTTTTAAATAATGTTTTGAAGATGGCAGATAATAATAGGATTATATTAAAATTTTGTTATTGTTATTTTTGTTGGAGTGGCTGTTTGAATGTAAAAAGTGCTCTTAATTGAAAGAGATTAATAGTACGTGACCGAAGAACTACATGTTGTGTGTATTATTGGATTTGTTGTCTATATATGTGTGTATTAAAAACTACAGCATAAGTTACATTTTTCATGATCGACCGGATGTATGTTTAAAGTTATAAGCATTGAAAGTTGTTTTTCAACTCTTAAAACAACACGGTAATTAAAAAAAATAAGGTCTATGTCCAGGTATATCATTACAGATAAATAAATAATACAAGTAGAAATAATTACATATTTATGACTAAAATGAACATTCTTTACAAAAATGTGATTAGTGACTAGAGTAGTAATGAAATCATAGTAACTTATGATAAATTTTTAAACCTAAGTTACTATGACCAGGGGCGGATCTGGCCTTAGGCCAGGGAGGGCCTAGGCCCAACCTGAAAAAAAAAACAAAATTAATAGTATATATATGTAGTATATTACATATATTGTTGTTAGGCAATGGTATAATTCTAAAGAAAGCCAATTTACCAACAAATACAGTGTTGGCAAGTTGGAAACGGAGTTGCACATATGCCTTGTAGCCTAACTTTTGTATGTTAGGAGTTCAACCCCCATGTAGAGCTTTTTTTTCTAACTTTTCAATGGGATAGCTAAGTGTAAAAATTTCAATTTTCTTTTCTAAAATCTCTTTCTCCACCCAGAAAGAATAAAAAGATTTAAACTTGGTCTCCTAAATTCAATTACTACAAGCTAGTGAATGAGCTAGATACTAATATTGTGAATGTTTTTGTACTTTTGAATATTAGCAAGAAAAATCAATTTGTTCAAATTATTGATCCTGGTAGGTGGTGATGGTAGGTGAAAATTAGTTCAATATGTATGGGCTTGGGTTGTTTTTTTCTAATCGACAAAAAATTCGTATTCCAGTTATATTTTTTGAACAATTATTCTTATTATATTTATTTTGGCTTTGGCATTTATTTGCAATCAATTTTATTTTATGTTTAAAAATAAATTTTGTTTAATGACATACCGTTGTACTACGTATTACATTTTGACATTTTCACAATATTTTATTTATTTAAAGTTTGGCCCCTGCTGGATGGCAATGCTAGATCCGCCCCTGACTATGACACTACATTGTAGTAACCAGGGGAGGATTTATGTTAGGGCTATGGTGGGCTGAAGCCCAAAGCAAAGTAAAAAAAATTATTATTTTTAAGGTATTATGTTTAAAAAATTGCATCTAGCCCATCCCAAATTTTCTATAGCCCAGTCCAATTTCTCAGCCCAGCCCATAATACAAAATTTTAACATCTAAAAATCTAATCTAAATGTTATACACATCACCCTCATACTTAATAATTGGCACTTAGTATATACATATAAGGACTTTATTCATGACATGTTCACAACAACTTTTAAAGTGCTTGAGTATCTTCAAAAACATTGCCCAAAAATGAGTTCTCGGGCATAAGTTCGTAGTGTATATAAACAGTTTTCATGTTTTGAATCTGTGATCATTTACTTTTGGTGCACAAAGTTATGGAAATAATGAATTTTGTCAAGGCCTTCGAAAAAAATTATTGGATATCTTGTTAGCCATGAGAGACATTTTCCCATTACACAACCGATCATTCTAGAGGAATTGACAAAAAACGGATGGGAAGGCTTTCTTGAAGAAGTAAAGGAGTTTCGCTCAAAACATGAAATTCATGTACCGAAGTTGAATTTTGAATATACGGTTGGTCATTGCAGAAAGAAACTACTGTTGAACATCATTATCACTTTGGTGTTTTCTATGAGGCAATAGACTTTGTATTGATGGAGTTAAAGACCCGATTTAATGATAAACCAGTAAAACTTCTTTCTTTGAGTACTTCATTGGATCCCAAAAATTTATATGAGTCATCCAATGTCGATGTTATTTGTACTCTTGCAAGGAATTTCTATCCCGAAAATTTTAGTAGTCAGGACATTCGTGCTTTGGAATTCGAGCTGCAACACTCTATTCATGATGTACTCATGTACAAAGTTAGAGCGAGTATCTACATTTGTTGAATTATGTGAGGAGTTGACTAAGAGCAGAAAATCTGATTCATATGTTATGATGAGTAGATTGATTTTCCTTTTATTGGACTTAATGTTCTTTTGTAAAATTAGAATGCTCGTTTTATGTCATGAAACAGCTTCTAAAGGCAGCACTCCTCAACAAAATGAATGATGACTTTATATTGAAAAAGACATTACTCTTAGTATAAATGTAGACTTTATTGTTGATGGGTTCTTTTGTTTCAAAGCCTCGTTGAGAACAAATTTATTGGAGAACTCTAATATTTGATTTTTTGTTTATTTTGAAAATTTTCAATGTATTATTATTTAAGTGTTTCAGCCCAGTCCAACATGAAATCCTGGATCCGCCCCTGATAGTAATTAATAGTCATATTCATGTAAATAAGTTTTATTTTAATAATATTTTTGTAAAAAGTTCATACAAGTACTCCGTAATACAAGAATATACTAAAGTCGTACATTATTTCATAAGTATATACGGAGTACTTGATTAGAGGAGGTTTTCCCTAGAACAAGACATACCGAATAAAAAATATAATATAACTATGACCTGGGTGTTTATACTTTGAATTATTTGGTCAGACTAGATCAAACTTAAACATACGGAGTATAAGATTAGACAAGATTAAACTATAGTAGACAAGACTAGACATCGACATTCATAAAATATAGACCAGAATTTATCAAATCAGACCTAAACATTTTATCCCATAGTATTTCAGTTCAAGTAAAAAACCAAACATTGATTGGAACTGAGGGGATGTCTCCCCGTTTTGATCCGAATGAAAACTGAAATCAAATCGGTGGTTCTCCGATAAAACTAAAGTTCCTAAAGTTCCTTTTCTGATCCTAATCAATCCCGGTTCTATATTTTTTATTTTTTAGATTTAAAAAATGAGTAAAATTAATTTTATATTTGATTAAGTAATAACTAATAAAAAATTCAAATAAAAGTGTTCATAAAAAAAATTTGTACAACTAAATAAAATAATTGGGGTTGTTAATAATATAGCCAAATAAATATAAGTTACATTGTACAAATCTATAATACTTCCCCGTTCTTAAATAAATGCAACGGTCAATATTTCAGACTTGTCGAGACACAACTTTGACCATTAATATAAATGATTTTGTATTAGTAAAAAAATTTAAAAAATTAAATTATGAAAATTTACAATGAGACAAGTTTAACAATGTTTTTTTCATAAAATAATATTATTACATTAATAAATAAAACGTAGTCAAAG